GCGAAAATCCTCCATAGGGGCGGCCATTTTCGGTGCCTCTAAAGTGAGGCAAAACAGCGGGTGGCCATTTTGGAACCGCCTATCAGCTGGCCGAAAATGGGGGCTTTGCGATGATCGCTTCCCCGCAATCATCGCAAAGCAATTTTTCCCCATAGGGGCCATCGCTAAGCGATCGCTCTGGCGATGGCCAAAACCCCATCGCTAAGCGATTTCATCGCTCAACAGAGCGATCGCTAAGCGAGGCACCACTGTACCTATTGCCATTTTTCAGAGAGGGATGGAACTTAGTAATTCGTTTCTCAGAAAGAAACGTAATTTTTTTATCTTTGCTCTTCTACACAAAAATACTGGAACAATGTTCTATTTGAATGAATAAATAAACAAGGATGTCTTCATTTTTTTTTTTTTTGGAAATCTAGTTAACTTTATGCATTGTTAAGTTATGTTAAAAAATGGAAAGTGTGGTACCACATAGAGCTGGTGTGGCAGATCTTTGGGTCGTATCTGGAGTGCCCAAAGAAAGGGGTTTTGAGAACTGCAGTCTAAAGTAGTGGTTGCCATCCTTGGGTAACCCAAGTGTTCTTGGATTGCAACTCTCAGAAACCCTGGCCAACATAACTGGTGACAAAGGCTTCTGGGAGTTGCAGTCCGAGAACACCTGAGTTACCCATGGTTGGGATCCACGGGTCTAAAAAACATCAAAAGCACTAAATGCTCCTCACCCCAGGGGTAAGCAGATTGGTTTGTTTGTGAGACTTAAGTGCTTGAGAGCATTTCATCTTTTCTTTGAGTGATTTCATCTATCATGGAGAAAGCAACTGTGCTGGTTTTAAAAAAGATATGGGGTGAAAAATCACTGTCGTTTCCAGTATTGGGTAGTGCAGCAGTATTCCTGTGCTGATACCTACTTTGTATTTAAGTAGTCCTAGAATCAATCACCAGCATCTCCAGCCCAAGACTCCAGAGAGTTTCTGCCAGTCATTTGAGATAGTATTAACAGAGTTGGAACAACAATCTGATTCAGTATAAGGTAAAGGTTCCCCTTGACATTTAGTCCAGTCGTGCTCGACTCTAGGGTGTGGTGCTCATCCCTGTCTCCAAGCTGTAGAGCCAGCATTTGTCTGAAGACAGTTTCCATGGTCACGTGGCCAGCGCAACGCCGTTACCTTCCCACCGTGGTGGTACCTATTTATCTACTCGCATTTGCATGCTTTCGAACTGCTAGGCTGGCAGGAGCTGGGACAAGCAGCGGGAGCTCACTATGTCCCATGGATTTGATCTTATGACTGCTGGTCTTCTGACCCTGCAGCACAGAGGCTTCTGCGGTTTAACCCGCAGCACCACCACGTCCCGCCTGATTCAGTATAGGGCAGCAAAAAGAACTCCAGGCATCTTCTTCTCATGGATGGGACATCTGTGGTCCTCCAGATGTTGTAGAACGACAGCTCTCATGAGCTTTATGCCAGCATGACCAGTGGTGAATGATCATGGGAGTTACAGTCTCGCACAACTGAGGCCACACCCTTCCTCATCCTTGGTCCATCAGAAAGTCACTGATTCTTGTGATTCCTCTTTCTCTGATCACATCAACAAATTCAATACCTGTCTTTTTACCTCTGCAGAGAAAAGGTCTATACTCAGAGGGGAAAAAAAGCCAGTGTTCTGTATCTTGTAATCTATAGGGTTTTCCTTTTGCCCCTGGCACATTTGGCTTTGGCAGAGGTTTAAATACCATTGGCCAGTACTGAAGGTTGTCCTACATTACCTCAAAAATGTAGATTATTCTAACAACATCTCCCTCCCCCCTTTATTTTAAAATTTAGAGGTCCCTCAGAGCCCCTAAATTATATCTTACTGAGCTTGGACATGAATGCAGCCTTGGCCTTATTCGATGTGCAGGCGTGAAAGCGGCTTGAACTCTTTCCTATTATGTGCAGCTTCCCGTCTCTGGAAACCTCTTGGATGTGTACAGCAACCAAGGTCTAATGGAGCCGGCTGTCACAGTCAGCAACTCCTGCCCAGCTGATCTACCCAACATCAAGAGGGAGATGTCAGGTACTGGGCATAGAGAGTCCCAAAGGGCTCGGCATCAAAAGAGCCTCGGCTGCAGGGGATGGTGGTGGTGGTAACAGCTGTTGAATCAAGGATGATGTTTATCTCTCTCTGTTTCTCCTCCTTTCTCTTTTCGGTACCGCTCTGTAGAAAACGAAGCGAAAGCATTTCTGAAGGAAAGGCAGAAGAAAGACAACCATAATCTGAGTGAGTGCCATCTTAGGTGAATGGTGGGTGACCAGCTGAAGGGTTTGAAGGGGATGGTCCTGTACTGAGGGAGGGTGGGAGGTCCAGACAGAGGTGTTTAGTTACAAATGTGAAGCTTGGACCCTAAATACATTAGCTTAGAAATAATCTTTTAAATCAGAGATGGGCAAGTATGGCCTATGGGCCCCATGTGGCCACAGGACTTTTCCTCAGGAGAAAAAAAGTGTTTTAAAAACGGTTAGTGACGGGGTGTTCAGAGATTCAGAACTTCCTCATCCAGGCATTTCCTGATTAAGGTTTTTTTTTCCTTCAAAAAAAGAGAGGTGGGGCTGAAAATGGCCCTTTGTGGGCTCCTGCAAGACCTGAGGAGGCTGGGGTGGTAAACTCGTCTCCCAGTCTCCCTGTGCTTGCCCGCCTGTGTTTTAGGTACACAGCTGTCACATGTCCAATCCTAAATCCCTGGGTTGGATTCAGACGTTGCCATACCACCCCACTGGCTTCACTTATATTCTGTGGAGAACTGTTTAGATGAAGGGGTGAAAGCAGAGCTGGACAGCTTAATAGCCCTTCCACATGCTGTTGGGCTGCCAGTCCCATCAGCCCTCGTGGGCACGGCCGAGGGTGGGGAAGTTGAGGGTTGTATCCCAACAGCCTCCAGGGGAGATCACAGGCCGTCTTCACCTTGGGTTAGAGTGTTACTGATGGACTCAATCTTGGGAGATCCAGGTAGGAAGGAGTCTTGAATGACCCATGAAAACTCGAAAGGGTGACCTTGGGTTCGTCGTCACTCTGTCCCATTCTTTCCAGTCTTACAGGGTTACTGTGGGGCAAAAGTGGAGATGAGGAGAGTTGAATGCACAGCTTCAAGCTCATTAAAGGAACAGAGAAGTCTGGTCCATACGGGTTGCTGGTTTTTTTTTTGCTTCTGGCAGGCAGCAGCTCTCCAGGGTCCCAGGAAAAGGCTTTTCCTTCACCTGCATCCTGATTGTTAGAATTAGGAAGGGCAGGAAAGTGGAGGCTTTCTGTGTGCAAAGAAAGCTGTGCTCCTCTTGAAATCAGTGTAAATGAGGTTGGGAGGAGGCTGCAAATGTGGTGTTTGCTTCCTGAGATTCAAGCTTGGGGCAATCCTCCCTTCTATGTCTTTTCTATTTTTGCACGTGAAGCAGAGCGTTGGAAAAATTATTTTCCTTTCCCCTTCCTTCGCTCTGTATTGAATAGCCTTGGGTGGACTGTTCTGTCTCGGCAGCAAGGACCTCATGGGATCAGGTGAAATGCCAGGGCCCTCGAAGGTAGAAAATGCCATGGAAAGTGTGATAAATAAATATTACTGCACACAGCAAAAGGCAAGAGGGTTCATCTGGGGACTGTGGCGCTGTTAAGCTGGGCGTGTGGCTGAGAATGCCAAACTGGTTAGGCCTGCTGGACAAACCCAGGTGGCAGGGGAGGTTGGAGGGGGTTGTTCACCCACTTGCTCCCAGAAGAGAAAGAGAGAGAGAAAAAGCAAAGCTCGAAGGCTTGTGGATCTGATCGGGAACAAGGGAGAACAAGCAAGCTCAGCTAGTTTGTAGAAGGTGTCCTGGATTGGTCTGAAGTGTGTGGGTGGTGGGAACTGGATTTACTCAGTCCTTTAGCTTAGCTGAGGCCATGTAAATTCATTCTCTCTCTCTCTCCCCCTCCCTCTCTGCTGTGTTTCACTGTACACTTTTGTATGGTGTGCCATCACACAGGGCTGTAGTGCGGCTGTGTTTGGGACTGTGTTTGAAACTCAAGACTTTTTGCATGAGCACAGGCGATGTGTCATGTCAGTTGGTTGTATTAACAGAAAGAGAGATGAGTTGAAACCTCAGTGTCTTTCTGGAGAGGCACTCTAAGGATGAGAGGCAGCCAAATATAGATCAGAGGGCTAAATCCAACATGGTGTCATAGTGGGATTTTCTTTCTTCCTCGTCCCTCCTGCAGCCCTCCGTGCTGCCTGAAAACCAGCTTGGGGGTTGGAGTATGGTACCAAACCTCAACCTGGCATGGAGGATACACAGGAGGCTTCAGTGGGGAAGATCTAAGTTCCCAATTATGCTGAACGCTGTTGTTCTGTCATTTGAAGGCCTTAGTTGGATACTGCATGTAAAATTTGGTGTTTGATCTGAGAACGGATATTGTTACATACAGGTTGGGAAAAGGTGGAATAAAGGTTATCCAGATGATCCAGAGGCTAGAACAATTCCCTTATGAGAAAATATTACAGTTTGGGGAGGCAGCTTTAGAACAAAAGGGGACTTAATTACAAGGATGCATGATGTGTTGAGACTGAGCAGGGGGAGATATTTCTTCCTCTCTTGTATTACGTTAGAACCCAGGATCACTCACTGAAGCTGAGGGAGTGGGAATCTAGGACGAAGGAGGTGAACTGTTTTTTCACACCATGCTGTTAATCTGTGGAATTCACATCCGCAGGATGCAGTGATGGCGGCCAGCCCAGAGATGGGCAAGTGCAGGCAGCATAGGGGTGGTCTGTGGTTGTTAGTGGCCATGAATATATACTTTCACCAACACCAGGGCATTATGCCGCCTGCGGTGGCTGCCACTATCTGGTAGGCTGTGATATGTAGGTAAATAAGGACACTTTTAACTGATCTAGAATATTGCAGGGTAGGTGGCATGGGAGTTTCTTTAGGGAAGGCATTTTGTCTGCCAAGAAAGCCTTTTCCCGAGTTGCCGCATGATATCCCTCTGATAAAAGGAGGAGGCTGGAACACAGGTGGAGCAGAAGACTATACGACATGGGTAGACTGATTTGGGAAGGACCATTTGAGATGTTTCTATAACTGTCTTTCTCTTTCTCTCCTTGCAGTTGAGCGACGGCGACGATTCAATATCAATGACCGAATCAAAGAATTGGGAACCCTCATCCCAAAGTCAAATGACCCGTAAGTCTAAGCAGGATGATGACCACCACCACTGCTTGTCAAAGGGGAACAAAGCCTGTCCTGTAGGAACATAGGAAACAGAGAACATAGGAAGCCACATAGGAATGCTTAAGAAATGCATGATTCCATCTAGCCATTATTACCAGTTCTGACTGGCAGCACTGGATCACCAGGGTTTCAATCAAGATTATTTCCTAGCCCTACCTGGAGATAGGGCCCCTGTGGTGTCTGATCCATGTACTCCTCGATCCAGTTCACTTTCCTGTTTCAGATGATGATAATGATGATTGCATCTTCTTCATGGCCTCTATGAATCACACTATATAATGATGATTGCTTCTTCTTCATGGCCTCTATGAATCACACTATGGGTAATCCGCACATGCACAGAGCCTCATTGGAATATTCTAGAGCTTCTGCGGTAGCAAAGGAAAATATATTAGCATATACTCCTCCCCAATGGTATATGTATCTTGGCGCTAAGGCTCTCCCTTCAGTTTCTCTCAACTGCCGCATTGACAGCCTTGATGGTTGCTTCTGTGAGAAATCTGAAAATGAAGGAAGAAAAGTTATTGAACTTTATTATTGTTATCCTTATTATTTTCAAATATATGCTCTGGCCTTAAGGCCGAAGCGTCCCCCCCCCCACCTTTCCATTGTTTTCTTTTCTAAACCGGTTCTCTTTTCAGGCCCATTTAAAAGCTGTGCAGCCTGTGATAATGAAATCCTGTTCTCTGACAGCCACGCTAAATGCCTTTTTTGCCTCGGTGAGGCCATCGAACTTCCTCTTCCCCTCACTGCAAAAACTTTAAACATTGAGTTCTCCGCTGTTCCCTCTCTAGACTCAAGCTTCAGCTCTGGGAGCAATCTCTAAAGCCATGGATGAAGCTGTTTCCGAAGCGACAAAACAGCACCCGTCAGCTACTCCATCTTGTTCCGATCATCGACAACCTACTCTGTCCTTGATATTGACAGTCACATGAGTGCACAAAGCCAAACATTCGACGTTGAAACCATCAACATTGAAAACAGCCTCTAAGAGAAAACCGTCCATGGACAGACGCTTCCTCGGCACTGGAACTGTCACCTCCGAAGAAGGCTAAGTCTTCGAAATCGAAGCCTTCCACAACCATTTCCCCGACTCCACAACCTCCGGAGTCTGGGAACCTCATCTGCATCGGTTTTCTTTCAGATGAGGAGGCACTTCCACCTCATCAACCTCACCATCGCAGTCTCCCGAATGGGAACAGCGTGTTGATCGACTCACGGCTTCCCCTGATAGCCCGTGACAATCCTCGGGCTCTCCAAGTGAGTCTTCACACATTGCCTTGTCAGATATCCATGATGCTAAACACAACCAGAAACTGTGCCTTACTCTGCCCCTTTAGACCTACCACCTCGGCCTCTAGCATATTAACAAAGGCACCAAGCCTATATGAGCATCCTCTTGTCTTCTCACAGGGAAAGAGATCATGCTCAGCACTATCCTCGTTCTTCCTGATCCGGTGGCGCTGCCCCTGCAGGATGTGTCTACTAGGGAGCTTTCAGTGTTGAAGCGATCTTACTACCATGCTTTCCCAGGACTACCTGGCACATCTTATCTGCTGTGTCTGCTAGGGAGTTTTCAGTGTTGAAGCGATCTTATTACCATTCTCGCCCAGGACTACCTGGCACATCTTATCTGCTGGCACCTAAGAGACCCAACCAAGCCGATCAATACTCCTCGGCTCTGGGCACGTTGCAGCACTGGCAAGTTACTATTTTCCTCTCCATTACGAGGACTGCGAGCACTCATCACGCTCACCGTCACTGGTGTCTGTCTAATCCACCATAATAAAGTGTGGTCCATCAACACCTTTACCACCTTGGCAGCTGTCTCAACACCGACAGCAACTTCTATTTCGACACACCTCGATACCAACCTTTCAGTATTGACAATCCTCTATATCAAATGCTGTCCATGGATGCACTTTCCATGTCAGCAGCAGTCGAAGACCCTAGCTATCAACCCCTGTCCATGGATGCACCTTCAACATCAATACGCACCTTCGACATCATTACCGATCGACAACCCTTGATATTGAACACTGTCCACCAATGCCCCTTCGACATCAACAACTCAGTGTCGACACCTATATTTTGAGGACCAGTCGCTCAATGTCGATATTGATTGACAGTTGATTGACTCGACTCGATTGACTCGAGACCGACCCATCTGATCATGGTTCCAGGCCTCAAATGCCATCAGGACTTTTAACAGTGCCAGTTTCTGACCTGGCAGATACAGACCCTCTGTCACCAGCAGAGGATTTTCAAACCTATGCTCAGTTAATGGTTCGTATGGCCAAATCTCTCGACCTACAAATCCATAGACCCACTACCAGAGCAGCTGATCATGTTTATGATCCCATCTGTAAAGATACTATCACACCGGTCCATATGTCCATGCTCCCTTCTCTCCTGAGCACAGCTAGACATTCTTGGATGAAACACAGCATCATCTCATTTGGTGTCAAAACACATCAACAACGTTTATCGAGTACATGACCCGGGCGCAGTCTTTTTACGGAAACAACCATCTCCCAATTCCATATTTGTCAAAGCTTCAAACCTTGCTCTCGACACAAATACTAATACCACCTAATAAAGACAGCAGGCGCATTGACTACATGGGCAGATGGCTATACTCTTCTGCCATTTTCACCTTGAGAGTTGCTAACTATCAGGGAGCTAAAGGCACCTACCAACATTTTCTCTGGACAATATGTCTACCTTTATTGATGCTCTCCCTGAAGATAAAACGGTCTTAGCACAAACTTTTCAACAAGATGGTCTTTGGATGGCGAAACAACAGATGCTATCCGCTAGACACACAGTTGATGCTGCACCTAAATCAATGGCTACCTCTGTAGCGCTTCGATGTTTCTCTTGACCTAGAACCCTGGGTCTAGCTGAGGATGTGCATGCACACAGCTGAGGATGCGCATGCACGCATTAAAGACCTCGCATTCGATTGAGTTGGTCTCTTCAATGCCGACACTGATGACATTCTTGAGAATGTTCAGAAAAGGAGGATAGCTCCCAGGCATTCGGGAGTCTACCCTGCATACTAGCAGTGCTCTCAGTGCAATCAGTGATGCAGCCCTTACACCTCCTATCAAAAATTTCAACAAGAACCACAACTACATGCAATGACCTTAAGCCTAAGCATCATGTTTGACATCC